CACTGAAAATCAACATCCTGTGTATGCTATGATTGTTTCATTTCGCAATTATTTGAGCATCTCAGAAATAGAAATTACTTCTTTGAAATTCTCTTGCTCTGGAAATCCTCCTCCTGCTTTTCATTACACCGTTACAGTTGTTCTCCTTGTAGGTTAAAAAGAAGCACATTCCATTTTTAAATGATAATACTTGCCCTTTTTTTTTTTTTTTTTTTTTTGCCCCCCAGCACTTCACAATGTGTCCAATACTTCAGGAACACCAGGCATAGCATATGGCTCAAAAGAAGGCATAGGAACTCAGTGGTCCACCTCTTTGATGCAGAGAGATCAACCAACCAATCACCAGGTCAGTTCAGATACTGCAAATCCCTCTGAACAGCTGTAGTTCAGCAATATCATTACTAATGTTTGTTGAATAAGTTATACCCCTGAGAGCTGGACTCTCTCACTTGGATAATGCATTCTCCCAAATTTCTGGCCTCTTTCATTTAATTGTCTCTGTTCATTTGGGATCCAACTCCCAGCCCTGCTGATAAACACAGTGTTAATATAAATATTAAATAAATAAATTCCCAAACAAAAACACAGAAAACTCTCAGTGTCTTCAGTAGGAATATTCCCTGAAAGCAGGCTTATGCTCAAGCTCTGAGAAAATCCCAGATAGATTTCTATTTTCATTAGGTGATGGAGAGGGCAAATACAACGTAAGAAAGTAGCTCCCAGAGTGAATATCTCATTGTAAGAGCTGAGTAAATCCAAGACTGCTTCATGAGACTCAATGTGTACAAGTTTATGGGGCTGGATGACATGCATCCCAGGATTGTGAAGGAGCTGGCTGATGTGGTTGGCAATCCACTCTGAATTGAAAAGTATTTGTTGTCAGGTAAAGTTCCTGGTGATTGGTGAAAGGAAAATATCACTCCCATTTTCAAAAAAGTAGCAAGAAAGACCCAGGGAACTACGGGCTGGTGAGCTTCATGTCTGTGTCTGAGAAGATCATGGAGCAGAACCTCCTGTTAGAGTACAAGCAAGGTGAGGAGTTAAGACAGTCAGCATAGCTTGACCATGGGCAGGTTGTGCCTGACCGACTTGGTAGCCTTCTATGATGGAGTAATAACACTGGTGGACAGAAGAAGGGCAACAGATATCATCTATCAGAATGTGCAAAAACTTTGATGTGCTCCTGCACCACATTCTTATCTCTAAATTGGAGAAATATGGATTTGAATGCTAAACAACTAAGTGGATAAAGAATTCATTGGGTGGTCACAGCCAGAGTCGTGGTCAGTCCAGGTGGAAGCCAGTTATGATTGGTGTCCTCTGGGGGCCTACCTTGGGACAAGCTCTTTTCAATATATTTATCAACAATATAGACAGTGAGATAGAGTGCACCATCATCAAGTTTGCCAATGCTACTAAGCTGAGTGGTGCAGTTGATACAATAGAAGGAAGGAATGCCAGCCAGAGGAACCTGGACAGGTTTGAAAAGTGAACCAGTGAGAACCTAATGAGGTTCATCAAGGCCAAATGCTAGGTGTTGCATTTGTGTCAAGGAAGTCTCAGATATGTGTACAGACTGGGAGAATATCTTAGTGAGAGTAGCTCTACAAGGACTTGAAGGATGAGTGGATGAGAAGCTGAACATGAGCCAGCAGTACGCTCTTGCAGGCCAGAAGGCCAAGAGTATCCTAGGCTGCCTCAAAAGAGGGGTGGCCAGCAGGATGAGGGATTGTCCCACTCTACTCTGCCCTTGTGAGGTCCTATCTGGAGTACTGCATCCAAGTCTGGGGGTCCCAACACAAGAAAGGCATGGAGCTGTTGGAGCGGGTCCAAAGGAGGGCCACAAATATGCTCAGGTGGCTGAAACATCTCTTCTATGAAGGAGGGAGTTGGGCTTTTTTAGCTTGAGGAAGACTCTGGAGAGATCTCCTTGTGGCCTTCCATTACATAAGGGGAGATTGTGAACATGAGGGAGACCAACTTTTTACAAAGTCTGATAATGATAGTACAAGGAAGAATGTACTTCTTTAAACTAAAAGAGGGGAAAATTAGATTATTTGTTATACATAAATTCTTTACTCAGAGAGTGGTGAGGCACTGGAACAGATTGCCCAGAGAGGTTGTGGAGGCATTCACGGCCACACTGGATGGGGCCCTGGGCAACCTGATCTTGTGGGGGTAACCAGCCCTTAGCTGGGTGTTGGAACTAGATGATCTTTATGGTTTCTTCCAACTTCAGTTATTCTATGATTCTGTGATTTTATGACTCTATGATTCTACGAATTGGGAAAATTATTCAGGGTGACATGGATACTTAGACCTTCAGAATTCAAATGGAAATCCAAGTGGTCATGGCTCCATTGTCTAACACAGACATAACAGATATACTGCCTCATAGAACTTGCTGTCATTAGGTACTACTGATAGTAGCCAAATTTTGTCTCTAGATCCCCCTCAATCTAAGGATGCTTTGGGGGAAATGAATGTTGAACAGATCTTGAATTCACACTTCACAACTAACAGCATTCTCCCTCAAACTTTGGTGCCACTTTATTCATTATTTGAGACTCCTTTACCATATCTTCCAGATACGGGAAGTGCAAAAATGATCCAACTAGTGGTATATTATGTCCCCATCCGGCAAACTCTGTCAGAAGCATCAGGAGTTCAGCAAGTCTAAAGCTGTGGTAAAGTTTGTTTTTGTGAGGCATGGGAACCTCAATTTCTCTTCTGAGGCCTGATCTCTTTCATAGTTGGCTTTCTAAGGGAAAAACTTTTCTTATTTTTCTTTCCCTCTTCCACTTCCCTTCCCCCACCTCTGCTTTGTCCAGAGCCTTTCTAAGAAAGCCAAATTCCCCTGAACATGCTAAAAGAAAGCTTGCAAGAACATCTGCTTTCCATCTGTGGAGCCAGACATATCCCCAGGCAACACTATTAGCAGTGATGGATCTGGAAGGGAGCATTAAGTGCCGAAGAAGCATCTGATGAGAAAGAGGAACCCAGCACATAAAGCTAACCATATTATTTGCCAGGTATTCTTGTTTCTACCCATTGCTCCCAATGGACAACCATCTCCTCCAAACTCCTATTCAGGAGAAGACCTGCTGTTTTCTTGCCGATTTAAGTATATTCAAGTGTCTTACATTTGTGCCTTAGGTGATCAAATGAGAACTACCAAGTGCTCAGTTAAAAAGCGACTGTTGAAAAGTAGAAGTGTTCAAAAGGGAATCTGAAATCTGGGAACTGCAAAGCACCTACGAGAAGTCAACGACAGCAGCAATTCTGCAGAGATATTTTGAGAAGAGTTGGTGCAGTGCACAAACGGAGGCAAGAAGGCTTTTCCATTCCTTGTTTTCTGCATAGCAGCACCTACATCTACTTAGTAGTGCATACAAAGGACTCCTGGGATCAGTAGTTCCAGTGCTATGAATGGGGAACGAGGAACTGTAGTAAGTCTTTTATTTTGAGATCACTGCTTGCACATAACACTGGAAAATACAGTTACATAGTTTAAAATCAAATGTTGTAGAATGACTTCTGTGTTGACTGGCCTGAGTTCTACTCTCAATTCCGTCACCTGAAACTGTGGCCATTTCTTTCCCCTCTCCCAGACACTGATTCAAAAGATTCAGAAAGGATCCCCTTGCTTTCTAAGCTCCTTCTCTGAGAGGAAACTAGGTGTGGCTAGGTCTAGATCTAAGTTTTATGTCTAAAGGATGATGTGTGTAGTTGCTTAGCAGAATAAAAATCTGGCCTCTCAAATACTTCTGTCGAAACACTTTCACAAAATCAAAAATAGATTGTTTTACTGAGGTAAATATAACAGATTCAAAACTGCCATTGATAAATTTACTAGCTACATTAGTGCTGAATAAATTTCTTATGTATCTTAACAAGGCTTGTGTTCTTAATTTAACACTGAATCCTCACAAAGAAACAGGACATAAGACATAAGCCTTGGCACAAAGTCAAGTATTTGATAGAGTGTATTGATAGAAGTGCTTAATGCCATGCTTTGGGGAATCACCTAGGCTTTCTCTAACTTAAAATATGTTTCTTTTCCATTAAAGTTCTTAAGATATCACTTAAAGTACTTCTGAAGGAATTTAAATATCGACGTCAATATTGCAGAAATCAAGGAGGTTGAATTTACACTTGCATTTTAAACTTGATTTGAAGTTCTGGTGGTGCTTAACAACTTTGATCCCATTTGTTAATTATCGCAGGAAGAAAAGTCACAAATTGTCATACTGGATAATTTCTACCACTCTGCTTTCCAACATTTCTCAAGACATGACCCACTTGTTAATCATTTTAGGACTACGCTTGTGTCAAAGGGACTGCAATTTCCAAGTGCTTAGTATGGTCTGAGAAGAACTACAAAATACCTACAGCATCCAAAAGGTGTGTAATTTATGTATGAATCAGAAAATGCAGCAAATGTATTGGTGTTGGTTTACTCAGTGTGAGGTATCACTGTTTTCCATTTTAACACAGCAGTAAATCACACACCTTTATCCCAACCATTCTGGAAGTGCAGAAGATGCAACTGGCTTCTGCTGTCAAAAAGAACATAGCCATATGTTTCTGACAGCATTATAATAGGGTTTTGTTTGTCCAGTTATAGGAGAATGTGGGGCTAATAACACTTAACCAGAAAGATAAAGAACTGTAGTTTGTTTCCTCATCCAGTTACAGCTTACTGAAACCAACAGCAATAACAATAAAGTCCCAGTGTGAACCCCACTCTAAAGAGTAGACAGAGAGACTGAACTTGTGGATGAACTCAGTAATTGCTTCAATGGGTATTCCAGCAGAAAGGTAATAGAAAAATTGTTCTCATTTGTTACACTCATTCGTATTCTTTTGTAGTGAATAGCTAATAAGAAGAGAAGCACATGTGCTAATTACCTTTGAGTGTAGAAGAATAGGATCCTTCCCCTGCTGAGGAGCCATGAAGTATTTAAATCATGAGTCTCACTTAGATTTGTAACTGGGGGAACTTTTGCAATAATCTTCCCCAAGGACAGGTATTAAGGGGGCATAAATGAAAATGGAACGTCATTTTCCTGATAACTGTTAGCTTGAAGTCTGAAATATTTCCAGTAACTTGATTCAGACTGGTGGATGAGAGAATGGAGGAATCTTTTTACAGCTTTGAGCAGGAAGACCCCACTTCCGAATTTCTCTTCTGGGACCAAGATCCCAACGACGAGCTCCATCTGGACAACCTCCTTCTGGACTATTCCTCCCCGGCAGACCACTTGTTCCCTTGGCCTTCTTCTGCGTGCCTTCCAGCAGCCCCCAGTAGCCCGGTAGCACCGCCGAGCCAGTTGGACGGAGCTCCGGAGCGGACGCGGGGTGCTGAAGCGGACAGCTCCCCTCCGCCCGGCCCCGCCGCGCCGCGCCCCGGCAGCGCCCACCGCCGGGCCGCCAACGTCCGTGAGAGGAAGAGGATGCTGAGCATCAACTCGGCCTTCGATCGGCTCAGGTGTCACGTTCCCACTTTCCCGTACGAGAAACGGCTCTCTAAGATCGACACGCTCCGCCTGGCCATCGCGTACATTGCTCTCCTTGGAGACATCCTGCTCTCCGGCTGCGAACCCAAATCCTACGTGGAGCAGTGCCTGAAGAGCAGCTTGCAAAGCCACCGCCAGGCAACCTGGAATACGAGCGGTGAGCAAAACAGTGATTTTTTTTTTTTTCAGAGATTGCTGAAATCCTTTGGGTTGCCAGTGAGAGGGAATCTGCCAAATTGAAGAAGGAACTGGGGCTGTTTAGTCTGGGGTAAAGGAGGCTGAGGGGAGACCTTATTGCTCTCTTCCAATATCTGAAAGGTGCTTACAGTGAGAGCGGGGTTGGTCTCTTCTCATTGGTGACAAGATGAGGGGAAATGGCCTCAAGTTGTGCCAGGGTAAGTTTAGGTTAGATATCAGGAAACATTTCTTTACAGAAAGGGTTGTTAAGCAATAGGCTTATGTTGCAATGGGCTCCCCAGGGAGGTGGTTGAGTCACCATCCCCAAATATGTTTAAAAACCACTTGGATGTGGTGCTCAGGGACATGATTTAGCAGAGGGTGGTTAGAACTAGGATAGTATGGACAGGCTGTGGTTGGACTTGATGATCTTTTCCAACCTGAGCGACTCTTATGATCCTAGATTGCTTTTGAATATCACTTGTCACTAACTTTCAACCAACAATGACAATTTAAAGATTTTCTCCAGTTTCTTTAAATGTTTCTTTAGCTTTTTCCTGACTAAGACACCTGGCTTTGAGTGTAAACAGAATCTAATTTCTTAAAATACATACGTTAAACAGTTTCTCAGACATGTTACAGTTTGACGTTGAGAACTAGGTTACACAAGAATTTTCTCTCTTATTTCAGATTTGATTTTAAGTATAATGGAGTGAATAGCTGTTTGCAATTAAAATATAAATAATTATGTAAGAATACAGAGTGAAAAGTTGGTATTCTGTTTTCTATTTGGCTTGCAAGGCTTATAATTTTGTACTTGCTTCCACCAGAATATGTCACTTCACCTGTCCAATGTATGAAGACAAAAAATTTCCTAAGTAAAACTGAGTCAGAGTGAAAGCAACAGATCTTTAAATGGTTTTTGGTTCTTAACCAGCACAGGGAGAAGCCAAGTTGGATTTTCAGTAGTTCTTGGTACTTTATGCTGTAAGATAATTGACCTCATTTCCAATTTGGGCCCTTCGTAGTTTATGCTCCTTAGGATTTTGTCACATTTTGGAAATGGGCTTGGAAACATATCAGCCTTCAAAAAGTGCAAAATAATTGTGAAAGAAAATGTCACAGGGAAGTGCCAAAGGGATAGAGCCTGCTTAGGAAAAGCAATAAAAGTTAATTCAGTCTTCATTACAACTCTCCTAAATGTTGAGAACTTTAATTTTGTTTTCCAGCTGCCTCCACCTCTAGCAGTAAGTTAGAGTTGATTACAAGTCTATTTAAAACAAAACAAACTCTTCTCATAGGTTTCAAGTCTTTGTCAGGCTTCAGGTCAGCTAGTATTCCTAAAGAGCTCCACTTGGAAACATCTAAATGAGTGAGGCCAGTTTTCTGGAGTGGCTGAATGTGTTAAACTCTAATGTAAATGTTTTTAAAGTACTCTGCTGTGTGCTTACTTGGTTTTCCTTTCTTCCTTCTGTTTGGTGCAGATCTGACAGCCCGCCTGTCTTGGATGAAGTGGGATTAAGAAATATCCAAAAGAAATATCTCTAAAGGCAACATATTGCTAACCTGATGACCTGACTGCTAGGTACCAGCTGTTAAATTCTCAGTACCACAAGCAAAAGCACGGCACTCGCAACTTTACAAATGGTTACTGATCACTTTCTTTCTGCACATCCAACATCCAGACTCTTTTGGTGTTAATTCACTGCTGTTTAGGACCTTCTGCTTGCTTTCTTCTACTTTCTCACACATTCGTAGACTGCTCTTACATGAAAAGAAAGAACTCTCTCTGCCAACAAAAAACATTAAAAATCAATGCCATTACAATCACAATCAATATAAGCACTTGGAGATTGCTGTCCTTTTCAGTAAGATAACATCCAAATCACATTTTAAGTGCATGGGAAAACCTATCCTTGCCCACAAGAATAAACTAAGCAATTCTCATTGTAAGCCATTGCTTGGCTTAAGATGTCCAGCCAATAACTCTAAAAGTAGCCAGTTATTCAGTGCACAGAGAACACAAAAGGCCCAATTTCCAGACATTTCTGTTTATCACCACCAAGCTTCCCATACCTTCCTTCTTATATGAGAACTTTTGGAGTTTCAAACCCAAACAATTTTGGCTACAAATGTGAAAAAAAAAAACAATGGCTGTTGCATATGCACCTCCTTCACACTCCCTGTACGTTTCACCCTGACTGTTCATGCAGAGACAGTACCCAGCTTTTGATGTTTTCTACAAAATACTCCTTCCTTCTGGTTTGTGAATTTTCTTAAGGATGTGCTAGTTACCTCGTGTTGCTCCAGGAACAGTTAGAAAGGTTCTGCTAAATACTTCCAATACCAGATTTCCCCCACTTTCCTGCTGAAACAGATCTGAGGGGCAAAACAATACACTCACAGTTGGCAAATGATTACCAAAGAGTTGTTAGCTCAGAAAAGCCATCACATTCTGCAGCCTGTGGGTACAGTAAAGGTTTTCATATTAGCAGAAATAAAAACAACTCTAAAACAACCCTGCAGTCACCAAGGTCAGTGCAGAAGAAGGGAAGGAGGTGTTCCTGGCATGCAGCAACAGTTCCCTGTGGCCCAGGGTGGAGGAGGCCGTCTCCCTTGCAGCCCATGTGTTGCAGGTGGTGCCCATCTTGCTGTGGAGGAGCCTGTGGTGCAGCAGTGGATGTGGCTTGAAGGAGGCTGCAGCCTATGGAGCCTCTGCAGGAGCAGCCCTGCGAGCTGATGCCTGAGGTATGCAGGAACTGCTGCCCTTGGGAGCCGTGCTGGAGCAGCACTTCAGGGCCATCCCTCAGGCACGGAGCTGTGTTGGAGCCATACTTGGAGAGCCGCAGCCTGTGGGAGGCCCATACAGGATCAGTGGGGGAAAAATGGCATCTGTGGGAGGGACCCACATGGAGCAGGGGAAAGGAGTGACCATGGAGGACAGCAGAGATGGATCATTATGGGCTGCCTGCAGCCCCATTCTCCCGTGCCACTCAGAAGGAGAAACTAAGAGAAGGTGTACAGTGTGAAGATGTTTTAGTTTGCTTTTAGCTCTTACCTGGTAGCAATATAACAATAAATTACATTTGTCTCCCAACACTGAGTCTGTTTTGCCCTTGATAGTAATTGATGAGCAATATTCCTGCACTTATCTCAACAACTGAGCCCTCTTGCATTTTCTCCCTGGTTCCTTCATGGTGGGAGCTGAGAGAGCAGTACAGTTTAGCTGTCCATCACAGTAAAACCACCACACAAATGCTGCAACATATTTCAGTAAACTTAGAATGAAATTTCTTCTCAAGCTCTTGATTTTCTTTAATTTTTTACCTTAGGAAGCAATTTATTTTATTTTTTTTAAATACAGGTATCAGTGCCTGAAAAAGTTTTGTGAGTGGCCCCACACAAGACCAGTGGGGAAAATAATCATGGGAGCTCTTCACAATTTTCTTGGTCTACAACACTTCAATTTTGTCTCTGTACTCATGCCAAAAGATCAGGAAAACAATACTGCTCACGGTTTCTTGTCAGGCAGACTACAGCACAAGGCTGTTTCTCTCCCAGGAAAGTAAACATGATGGGACCCAGAGCAGATCTTTACTCTGAGGAAAGTCAGTCTCAGTCCTTACTTCAAACAGCAGGGTTTTTTAGGGTGTGAATTCTGTTGCAGCTGTGAATTAATTCCTAAGGAGCTTAGATAGTGGAAAACATCTCCATCTCTTCCCAGGGGGACTGCCTGATTGCAAAGGAGCATTGCACACCAGTCGCTCCAACACCCTCCCTCCTCACCTACTCCAGCAATGATGATCCCTTGGGACACTGAAGTCTCAGAAATTGACAATTGTCATAGTTTAAATGGTCAGTGATTGCTTGGCCCTTGTGTCAAGAATCTCCAGGAGCCTGTAAGAAATGAAGGCATCCAGCCTTTCACTTGGGCATCCCTCCTCTTAGCTCTGCAGTGTGCACAGGAGCTGTCAATACATCACCACCTTCATGGCAAGGCTAAGGAAGGCTTCTCTCAGGAATACAACAACCTGCTCAATGCTTAGAGATCTCCATAGCTCTCTTGGAGTCATATTCAGTAACCAGGACTCATGCTCTCACTGCAGCATGCAGGGGCAGACAGAAACAGCCACGTGTGTTTCTCCCAAAGATAGACAAACCTTTCCACAGCTGTCCAATGAGAGCAGGCTGTCCTGGGCCACAGACTTTGGCCAGAGATCAACAAGGCTTCCTCTAAGTCTTCATTAGAATGCATGTTTCTCCAAGATCTTTACTGATGGTAATGGAGACCTGTGACTCATCCATCTGTGATGCTTTCAGACAGGATTACTGAGGACCTCCCAGGTTAAACATCACAGTCAGTAGGGAGCAGTAGCCACTGCTCTAATGTTGTCGGCTGATGACATTATGGCCTTCAGATGGGAATGCATCCACTGTGCAGGGTCCTTAACACCAAGATTAATTTGGGTATCCAAAATCTCAGTTTCCATTTATCTCCCATTTCAGCAGTATCAGACTGAACTCACTGTGTGGTTTTTAAATGCTACCCCACTCAGAAGTTTGTGGTGGATGCAAAGTTATAATGCTATGCTGCAAGAGGAGATATACATTTGCTGCAGTCACTTGAATACAAGTGAAAGTGTCTCTGTCCTTGTCTCCAGCCTGGAAACCCTTCTGAAGCAGACTGGGCAGCATCAAGAAATCACACTCCTGTGAAGGTAACATTGTGCAATTTCTCAGGTTTGTGATCTGCTTGCTGTGAATGGACAACTAACCTAGAGATGACGTTAGTACCAAAAGAATCCTAATGACAAAAGCAGGAAGAGCTGTCCTGTAACAAAGGGATTTTCCTCAATGTGAGGACGCCAGCTAAGGAAGGCTTTAGCTCTAGGTGTCAGCTAAAGCTGAAGTCCTTGTTTGACGTGCAGACTCCCACCTCAATGCCCTGTGTTCCAACAGCAATGCCAGGAATGACAGAAATATCTGCTGAGTTTCATGCAGCACAGTTCCATCAACAACACCACAGAGTTCCTATGGGAGCTGCCAGTCATTTGAGCGCAGCTGGCCTGTAGTGTGCATGCTGGCAAGCTCTGAGAAACACCTAACTATAGAGGCAGTCCCACCTATCACTGCTGCTGTCAAGGAAACCTTGCACAGGGCATGACTTTGAGGAACAGGCTGCTGGAATTTGATGATGACTCTAAGCTGGGAAAATAAATGGAGCCAATAAATCCTGAGACAGGATATGTAAAGATCGGGGTTTGGGTGGAAGTCAAAACTAGAAATAAAAATGTTCCCTTTGGGAGTTAAAACTCTAATCCTGGGCTCTTCAGCCAGTGAGTAGAAGTCAATACATTTATTGCCCCCCATTAAAGCTGATGAAGCTGTTTCTTCTCACGCATGCTCTGGTTTGACACCTGTATCATTCCATTGCTTCATTGCCACATTTGATTTACGTTGGCTGGAGAGAACAGTCTGCCCCTCACTGCCTACCTTGAGCTTCCTGCACTCTAACAGGTTGTTAATGATGGCACACCAGTCAAAGGACTGTTCTTGGGTGAAGTCTTATTAAACTATATGGACATAATCAACTGCTAAGCTGATGAAAGCATCACAGTCTCTGATATATCACTGTTTAAGTCAATTCCCTTTAACCAAGATAGATAAAAGCAAATTAGAGGGCTGGAGCACCTCTCCTACTCACTCTTTACCTTTC